CAGGGATGGGTCTCGGCCCATCCTCCATGACCCGCCCAACCCCTCCTGCCGTGGTGCCCTGTCTGCTGGCAGCCCCACTCCCCCTGCCACTGCTCCCACGCGCTGACAGCACTGGCCCCACTCACACCCGCTGACAGTAAAGGAATTAAAGAGTGATGTGAGTGGCGGCTGCTGCCCTGATCGCCCTTCAGGAGCAGGGGGAGGTGGAGAAGCCCTCAGGGGCGATCAGGACCAGCAGCTGCCGCTCGCACCCACTGACGGTGCAGAGCGATCGGGACCGGCACCAGGCGCCAGAAGCGGGTACGAGCGGCAGCTCCGGCGCTGGCTGTGGGTGTGAGCAAAGCCGTCACCGGCAGCAGGTGCGAGAGGCGGCTGCCAGCCTTGATTGCCCCTCAGGAGCAGGGGGAGGTGGAGAAGCCCTGAGGGGCGATCAGGGCCTGCAGCCGCGGCTTGCACCCACTGACAGCAACAAGCAATCAGGGCCGGCGCCAGGTGCCAGTAGCGAGTGCGAGTGGTGGCTCTGGCGCCAGCAGCGGGTGCAAATGGGGCTGGCGCCAGCAGCACGCACAAACACCAGACAGGACTGTGGTGCATGGGAGCAAAGAATTTTCAGTAACCACCAAAGGCTCGCCCCAATGACAGCGACCGGCACCCAGCCTTGGTCTGGTGTCCCCGCTCACCTGCTCCACCATCCTGCTACGGCCGATGCCCGCCATGTTCCGCATGCACCCCCTGGTGGTCAGTGCATGTCATAGCAACCGGTTGTTCAGTTGTTCTGTCATTAGGTCTATTTGCATATTAGGGTTTTATATATATAGATGCCCAACTAGCATAAATATTATCTAAGAAACCCTGAAAATGGCTTGGTTACTCTCTTAACTTCAATTATAATACCAAACACCGACATAAACATACATATCACATACAAGTACATGCACAGACACCCACCATGCCTCCCACACCCTCTCTCTCTCCTTCTCTCCTCATAAACACCCTTTTTTTCTTGCTCTCTCTCTCTCACACGCACATAGACACACACACACACACACACACACACACACACACACACACACAGCCTTTCCTTAATAAAACAGTTGTCAATTTGGCTGTCTTAATTAAGAAATAGCCTATGTCCCAAATTTTTAAACATTTCCAATAAAATATATAATTTATTCTGAAAAACTGGGAAAATGCTAAGTCAAAACAATGTTTATTATTTTATGCATATTTTCCCCAATATTCTAAAAACATTTACTTTCTGAGTTCCAGAAACCTTGCTAAGAGCTGGGGGAAGGGAGTGAAATAAATCCATCATAAGACAGGGCTCTGCAGTCCATGAGCGCACAGTATAGCAGCAGGAAAGATAAGTCAAGGTCACATCTGACTAGGCTGGGAGGGAGGGAGCGAGGGAGCGAGGGAGGGAGGAGGAAGGAGAGGCCTGCTGCCTGCAGCCCAGTGAGTGTGAGTTTGAGGTGCTCCAGCTGGAAAGACAGACTGAGTGCACAGATACTCTGTAGTAGCTAAAACACCAAACACTTTAGCTTAATTAAAAATGCATGTTTAAGAGTGGTGCCTGCCCAGAAAAGAAGTCTGGAAGGCATAGCCAAAGTGTGTGAATTCTTACACTCAACAAAATGTAATGAAGGCGTGTGATGTGCCAGGCACAAGGGGTACAGGGGTGAAGGAGAGTGGGAAAGGCCCTGCTGACGGTCAGGCCCAGAAGACCTGAAGACAGACCAGTACGGAATGTAGTGGCAGGTGGGGTGAGGGTTGGGGCACACAGAGGTCAGGAAGATTTTCCTGAGGAGGGGACATCTGAGCAAATACTTGAACAAATGTTAACTTTTTCCCCTTCTCTGGATGGTGGAATATGTGAGTTTGGGGTTTTTCTTTTTGCATACCTGTATTTCTTAATTTTTCTACCCTAAGAATATACTAGTGAAGTTTTTTTAAAAGATATTTTTATTGATTTCAGAGAGGAAGGGAGAGGGAGAGAGACAAAGAAACATCAATGATGAGAGAGAATCATCGATCAGCTGCCTCCTACACACCCCACACTGGATATCGAGCCCGAAACCCAGGCATGTGCCCTGACTGGTAATTGAACTGTGACCTCCTGGTTCATAGGTCGATACTCAACCACTGAGCCACGCCAGCCAGGCCTAGTTGAGTTACTTTTGAAAATCTAAAAGGAAAATAAGGCACCACTAGGCACCTTCCACAATTCCAAAGCATGAAATTCAAGCTTTTCCGGTAAAGGAACTCAAGTTCCTTATCTTCAAGTTGCAGATAACTGGCTTGGGTATCACTTACATTCACTCACTCCCAGTGCCCACATGCCTTTCAGTCTGTCCTACAAAGTCCCCAGGCAACACCTTCATGGCTGTGTGAGAACCAGTAGGGCCCAGGGCTCCGAGATATGCACACCCGTTTCCTAGGCAACCCCCTTCTTCCCTGACTTTACTTCTCCAGTACAGACCTCTCCCTGGAGCCCCAACTCCCACATAACCCAGCCACTGGCTCAGGACCCTCTCCCGGGCATTTGAGAGACGTCTCAGACGCACTGCCCAACACTTACTTTCTGCTCCCCCACCCACCCACTCATGGGCTCCTACCCTAATCTTTCTCCTTCAGTAAACAGCTCCATCATCTTCGCAGCTGCCCAGGACTCTGCCCGGGCGTCATCCCTGACTCCTCTCCTTCCCTCACACCCGACATGCCATCAGCTCCACCCTAAAACAGGGCCAGAATGTGGCCACCTCACACTACCTCTGTTCAGCTACCTGGTTCAAGCCACCAAACTCAAAACTTGCCAAGAGCTCTCTATCATACTTTCCTACCCTTCCCTCTCTGACCTACAAGACCCCATGCTATCTGGCCCCAGCTTCCAACTTCAGTCTCAGCTCCTTCCAATCCTGGCTCCTGACTCCTCCAGCCACCGTGACCTTCCTGTGGGTCACAAAATGCACCAGGCTTAGCCCCAACTTTGCATTGGCTACCCCTGTGCCAGGAACACCCTTCCTCCAACATCTGCAGGCTGTGCTGCCTGCCTTACATCACCAGACATCTGCTTACACATCACCTTCTTCTGAAGAAAGCTTCCCTAATCCATCCCCATTCCTCTGACACTCTGCCCTAACACTTACCCCACAGGCCAACTTACATACTGTCTCTTTCCACTCACCAGAATGCAAGCTCCTAAAAAACCAAGTCCTTGTTCAACTTGTATCCTTAGCATTGATGTATAACAGGCGTACAATAAACATGTCTGGAATTAATGAGTCAAGGAATGTGCTAGGCTCTGGAGCAAACACACAGTGTGACAGAACAGACTTCTGTTTTCAGCAGCAAGGAAAAGCAGGTATCTTAATGACTCTCCTGTTGCAAAATTTAAAAAGCTGAACAAAATATATTTACATCACTGAGTTGGCATAAAATAAAGAGAGATAGACACTAAAAACACAAATTTAAAGAAGCGACCACAGAATAAAAGTAGATAAATCAGGTTTCTTTCTGAAATAACAAAGGAAGAAAAGATAAAAGAAAAATTAATAGACGTGGAGAAAAAGTGAAATCTAACTTACATCTAATGAAGTTCCAAAAAAAGATAACATCAAGAATGGGGAAGAAGCAATATCTAAAGATAATTTTTCAGACTAAACCACAAATCAAGGAAGCCCAATGAACTCAAGCAAGATTTTAAGAGAGAGAGAGATCCATACCACAATTAAAGCAAAACTGTAAAACCTCAAAGTTATGGAACAGATCATAAAAGCAGTCAGCAGAAAGGTCACAAACAATGGCACCTGAACTAAGAGCAAAAGTGCAAGTCAGAAGACAATGGAATCATATATATTATATGCTGAGTAACAATGACTGCCAACTAAGAATTCCATACCCAGCAAAACTAGTTTTTAAGAACAAAGAATTAGGCATTTTAAGACAGATAAAATATATACCACACCAAAAAAATCTTCACAGAAAAGGAAATTTTAAAGAATATACTTTAGGCAAAATGAAATAATCTGAGGTGAAAAGCTTGAAGCACAAGAAAGATGGTAAGTGAATATACTGGTAAATATATGGATAAATCTAAACAGCATTGACTGCATGAAACACAACATCTAATTTTCAGAATTAAACAATTCAGGAAAGAAATACTGGACAAGTTGGAAGGAAGTGTGGAGTTAAAAAGGATTTAAATCCTTTCATTAGTCAAGGGAAAAGTAAAGACATTACTTTAAATTTCGTTAAATGCGTTAAAATGTCTAGGATAGCTACTAAAGGACTAGACAGAATTTAATTTCTAACTTAAGAAAAAACAAATGCAATGAAGGGGGTGAGAGGTAACAACAGGATTCAAAACAAAAGAAGGCAAAAAACACTTCTTAAGTTACATAAATATCTAACCACTATGTTGTACACCTGAATCTAATATAATATTGTATGTCAACTGTAATAAAAAATAAATAAAAAGAATCTAAAAGAATTTTTTTTAACTCACCAGAAAAACTATAGCAACTAGAAGGCACCAGAACAAGAAAAGGCTGCATCTATGCAATACCATTCCTATTTATATTGTACTAGAGGTTTTAGCCGATGCAATAAAGAAAATAGTAAAAGATGTAAGAATTAGAAAAGAAAGAAAACATCATTATTTGTAGCTGATAGGGTTTTAGCAAGCTTGATGGACTGCTGGGATTTCAGAGCTACAGTGCTGGGGGCTCTGTGAGTGGGTTTCATTTACCATGAGGGAAATACCATTGTAATCCTCACTTGACAGATAAAGAAACTGAGACTCAGACAGGTGGAATATCTTGCCCAAAGCCCTCTGGCAAGTAAATGACTACTTTTGAAATTAAATCTCTCTGTCCCCAAAGCTTAACCACTATGCCTGCCACAGAGTGAGAGACAAATGATGAGGATACCACCTACACTCTCCCAGACGCAAGGATGACTGTGATTACAAGTGCAGTGGAGTACAAGGAGGAGATACTGACCTGAAGGAAGCCAGGGAAGAGAGCCTGAGGCAAGATCTGAAGCTTGCAGGGAATGGGTTTCTTCAGCATTTTGACTTTTCTAACAAAGACATCATGGACCGGATAAATAGTTTGGCAAAGCTTTTCCATGTCTTTCCCAATGCCAGCTGGAATCCATTTATTGACCACTGCTTTCAAATCATTTGCACCTCTCGGCTCATGATGTCCATCATCTTCTTCTGGATTTGGTGGACCTGCTGATGCTGAGCAAAGAAGTCTTCCGAATCTGATCGTTGCTTTTTTCAATATAACCAACACAGAGTAGACGAAGGAACTAACCACCAGTAGTCTTGACATCAATATGAGCTTGGTTTGCCATTTTTTGACCATGGAGCACATTCTGTCACGAGTAACATCCATGCGATGAAAATTAGGTAGTGTTTGTCTTGAACAGCCTCGGTAATTGTCTTGATTTTTCTAAATGCAACTTCATAGTTCTGCAGATCAGCTAGACTCACTGCAAAAACACGACTCTTCTCTAGCTGGGGTGGCTCAGTGATTGAGCATTGAACCAGGAGGGCACAGTTCAATTCCGGGTGGAAGCATATGGCTGGGTTGCAACTCAATCCCCAGTTGGGGCATGTAGGAGGCAGCCAATCAATGATTCTCTCTCATCATTGATATTCCTATCTCTCTCTCTCTCTCCCTTCCTCTCTGAAATCAATAAACATATATTTAAAAACACACACACAACACGACTCTTGAGCCTGGAAAGTGTAGCTCAGTGATTAAGCATGGACCCATGAACCAAGAGGTCACTGGTTCGATTCCTGGTCGGGGTCCATGCCCAGGTTGCGGGCTCAATCCCCAGTAGGGAGCATACAGGAGGCAGCTGATTGATGTTTCTATCTCTCTATCCTATCCCTCTCCTTTCCTCTCTCTAAAATCAATAAAAGATATTTTTAAAAAAACACAATCCTTGAGATCATCAGATGTGATTTTGGCTCCTTGAGTTCTGTGACTAGTGTTTTTCCAACATTTCTTATACTGAACACAGAAGGTGTTTTCATGTCATGTCACACCAATCTTCCTTGGAAAATGAATGGACTACTTCCTTTTTGGCTCCCCTTTTGCTGCCTTCTGTAAGGCACTTGTTCTCCTTGGGGGGGCGGGGGGGAATAATCTTTTATTTTGGAAACAAATCAAAAGGGGGTTAGGAAATGAAGCACCTTAAGCAATGCTCTCTTGAGACTTCTTTTCAAGACCCCAGAGTCTTCACAGACATAACTTGGGCTCAAAAACATTTTCTTTCTCAGAGCCAAGAATGGCCAGCAAATAGTAGGGATTAGAGGATGGGGAGGGTGGGGAGATTGGTGCTGAGAGTAAGACACTGCCCTGCTGGTGTGGCTCAAGCGGTTGATCATCGACCCAGGAACCAAGAGAATAAGGCACTGGTTCTTGCAGACCGCCATGGTGCTGCTCAGAGAGCCAACAGGCTCAAATATGCCATATTCTTCCTGACCTCCTTGCCTCTGCATATACTGTTTCTTCCATCTCTCGTGTGACTGAAAACCCTTGTCTCCAAAACACACCGCCAAACTGTGATGTTTTCCTAGCCTCCCCCATTCTTCACGGCAGAATGAGGTCCCTATAACTCTAGATGACTCATCACCCCGCATCTACCCCACTGGACTGTGAGCTTCTCCGAGGCAAGAACTCGACAATCATGGATCTCAGGGCCGAGCACAGTGCCTGACACAGACTGACAAAACAGAACTCCTTTTTTTTCTTTTTCTTTTTTTAGAAAGTATCCATCTGTATAAATAAATGTATATTGTATTTAAGAGGCAGTAAGACTTCCCATTCTCATTTCTTCTTTCTCTCATAATGTGCAGCAGCAGGTAGAAAGATCTCTCCAAGGTTGCCCCAAAGCCCAGAGGAGCGAATGTTCTGGTAGACCTGGGGCTCTGCTGATGGGGGCCGGGCCACATGGGAGCAATGCTGGCACCAGGCCCGGTCACCTCTGTACCACTCATTCACGGTCTGGTTGGTGATGGCCAGGTACAGAGCAAAGCACAGGAAACCACCCAGGAGGAAGCTCGGTACAACAACAAAACCCAGAATGAAGACAATCCTTGGGAAGGTCAGGAAAGGTACTGACAAAGATGGTGTCGGTAACTTGGAAGTATCCAACATCATCAACATTAAGTCTCCAGGTACAAGTCTGACGCCACCACCAACTAGACTAGAAACACAGTGCACACAACGACCATGGTGGCAGCTGAGGCATTCACGTCAAGAGGCAGATGAGGAAGGACCTGGCATTCCAGGCCCCGATGCACAGTGATGGGAAGAACGGTGCACACACTGGGCCGCACACTGCAGGGCCTGGACTGCGCTGGTCTCCTCAGATCACAAGCAGAGCACCGCGTGTTCTCTGGGAACATCACTTCATGGAATTCATAACCGTGAAGAAACAATCATTTGTTTGCTTTTGTTAGGGTACCAGGGTCGGTTACACAACTTAGGGTGAAAAAAACCAGGTTTACAATCAGCAGCAGATAGGGTAGAAGAAGGTAATACAAAGAGAAGTCCAGCTCTTGACAGCAGCCAAGTATTTTCTGTGTATTCAGTATAAACCATTCCTTGCAAGATGAGGTGCAGGATAATGAAGGTGTGGTTTCGGGTATGAAAGAGGAAATGAAGAAATCTTAGCATGGCTCTCCGAAGGCATTCTGAAATTATATAGGGAAATATCTGTGTCTTCCCTGATCGGGCCTTTCAGGTAATGGGTTTTCGAGCAGATGTAGAGCATAACACCACCCATCAGCACCAAAGCCCAGTAGAACAAGAGAACCAGATCCATCCTGGGGATTTTCTCTTGTTTAGATAATTTTCAGCAACAGCCCTGGCATTCCCCCTCCCAACAGTTATGGAGAATTCAAACAATGTCTCCTGTGCAGTGGCATGCGCCTGGCACACAGGTGACACCCAAAGCTGCAGCAGTCCTCACTGCTCCAGGAGGCTGAGTCTGGCTCCAGGAGCGACCAGCTGCGCCATGCTGGTGCCTCCACGGCATACCCTTGAACTCTTTATTTTTAAGAAAAATCTCTCACCAAAGCCCTTCGTGCTTGAGGTAGCTCATTATACACCTATGCCAAATGGTACTCACTTAGCTTAGAAATTAAATGAAAAGAATGAATGCACCCATGCAGAAAGGAACAATGGATCCAGCCAGCCGGCATCCAGGCGGACTGCCCCTCCAGGCTGTGACCTAATGGAAACGAGCCCGGAGCTCGCTCAGGTGCCTGCGTGTCCCTGCGTGTCCATCGGTGAGAGCAGTCAGGTGGTGGGATGATGACAGCTCATAGAAACCTCACACGATGATTTTTCATCAAGATGACAGCTTCTACCATCCCAAATCAAACTCTTCAACGTCAGCAGTTTACTGGATGCACCAAAGAATAAATGAAATGCCTTACAGTTCAACATTAAATACACAAAGATTTCTCCTCCCAAAGTGATCCTGCTGCTTGCCTGCATGGCCTCATGGTCTCATACATAACATTCTCAGAGGTAAATTAACAAAGTCAATAGGTATTTCGTCATTAGTTCACTGTGCCCTGTGCTATTTTTTTCTTTATGTGTCTTTTCTTTATGGAAAAGAACCATAACGAGAGCAATTCATTGTTCCTAAATTGCCCTGTGCTTCATTTCTTTTGCTAAACTAGCAGTAGCAATATGTGTCAGAAACTTGAGAATCAAAGACAATTCCAAACTGGGAAGTGCAACATTTAGCCTGTCAACTACATCAACAACATCATGTCAAGTAAGCATTTTTCAGCAAAATCATTCTCCCCTGATCTCCCTCAAGGACTCTGCTGCAGAAAAAATCCCAATGGGAAGCAAGACTGAATATGAAATTTAGTCTTCACGTTAACAAAAAGAAATTTTAAATCCTGAACTATTGTGATGGCCACTGGCAAACATTTCAAATTCAGAATACGTCCTGTTAGATTCTTTAAGTCATCCAGAAATAGAACAATACGCTTTGTGAGACCACATCAAGATTCATGTCTTATAATTCACAAATGACAGAGTCTAATGAGAAAAAAAATTTAGGCCAGATTCCCAGGGCTGAAGGAAACGTTAAATAGACAGCTACTCTGTCATTTGGTATCGAGGCAGAACTGTGAGATGCAAATGCATTTAGACCAGCCTGGGGACACATGACTGTAGTGCCTTCAAAAGCAATCTCTACAGAAAGAGACCATGCAACTCACTCACTCATTCACTCAGACCTCTTTACCCCGCTCTAGGGCCTAGGATCTACCTGGGATACTGGGAGGCGTTTCTTCAACCTAGAGGAGGTTCTAAGGGCACCCTACAGGCCTGGAGAGAAGGCCTGAGCAGAGTGGACGTGAGGAAGACCCCGATGACACCACCAGCACAAACTCTGGTCCAATAGCAACCCGTCCTGCAGCCAAGTCAGCACTGCATCCCCCCTCAGATCTTTAAATTTCACAGGCATACCAGAGTATACACTATGGGCAGAAGCGAGGGGCAAGGAGGAATATCAAATACTACTTACTGACTGGGACAATTATATATTATGACATATTTACATATACATATTTATGCATATATGTTAAGAAGGCCAATTATATATTAAGTAAAGGAAGTCAGTTAAAATATTCTATACTTAACATGTACTGAAAATATAGGGTGTCCCCCCCAAAAAAAGGTATACACACTTTAACAGCTGTTAATTCATTTAAGTTTCACTCCTTTTCAGGTTTAACTGATTTGAAATAATGGGTGAAGCCAGACTAAAGCTTTGAACAAATAAAATTTATCCTAAAGTGCCCTAACCGGTTTGGCTCAGTGGATAGAGCATCGGCCTGCGGACTGAATGGTCCCGGGTTCGATTCCGGCCAAGGGCATGTACCTTGGTTGCAGGCACATCCCCGGTAGGGGGTGTGCAGGAGGCAGCTGATCGATGTTTCTCTCTCATCAATGTTTCTAACTCTCTATCCCTCTCCCTTCCTCTCTGTAAAAAATCAATAAAAAATATATTTAAAAAAAAAATTTATCCTAAAGTGCCACTAGACTTTTTTTTTCAATGGGGACACATAAAAGATAAAGTTTAAGGTACAAACCCAGCAACAATCAACAAACTGAGGGCACACAAATACCGAACGAAATGATTCTTGATGTTTGCGATTCTATTGTTTCATGTTATCAGCAATGGCTGGACCAAAACGGTCATAAGTTTGAAAACAGGCATTGACAAAAAAAAAAAAATTCATTTCTGTAGATTCTTTTAAGTTTTGAAAAAGAACTGTATGCTAATAACCACTGACTTTATAATCATTTAAAGTGTGTATATTTTTTGGGACACCCTGTATATAAGAATGATTGGGGAACAAAGGTGACTAGATTAGGGGAGCAGTGAACTTTCTCCATCCCTGAAGCAGGCTCCTCACCTTCCTTAGCCGGATGGGTCCTCTGGTTCACCAAATGCAAGCGGCTTCTCCGAGGATAATGACAGCACAGACGACCAGAACACCAGGAGGGAAGACACAGCTCCAACCTATTACATAAAAACAGTGCTCATGTTTCCTCCTTCAGTCTCAGGTTTTATACATTCGAATAGGTATAAAGTTATTGACCACAACTTCAAGTATAAT